TCAGTGACCTCTATGACCACCATCAATTTTAAAATATCTTTGATGTTTGGATGGCTATAACAAAGCAAATTCAGTGGCATATGCCTTTGCATGGAACAGAAAGTACAAGAGGGGTACTTTGGCTATGTCTACCTTTGTTTTACTAGAGGCATCTCTCTTCTAAAAAAATACATATATCACATTTTGATCAAAGGGATCAACTTTAAATAGAATTCTGGGAAATTGAATGAATAGAATTCATTTTATGTGTCCATTTTTATTGCACTAAGAATATAAAGTATTTTTCCCACAAAAATGAAAGAAAAGGAGCACAGATGGTAAAGGGTTTCTCCAGTTGGTTTTCTTCAGTCTTTCCACATGGTTAATATCTCTTGATACCCCCTTTTCTGCTAACAGCAGGGTGCTGATATATCTGCAGCCAGCTTGGACAATTTCAAGATGACTGTACTAAACATGTTTTATTTTAAAATCTCAAGACATTGTCAGTCTCATTCACAAGCCAGCAAAACTTTGTGTTTTATAGATTAAATGTCAGAAGAGAGGACACTGAGTTTGGTAAACTCAGTTGGATACTGGAAGGTTTAAACATAAGTTTCATTTTAGTTTCAAAGTGACTCCCTGAGCATTCACAGAGAATATCACAAATCTTTCTTCAGCAGAAGATTTGGCACAAAAGTTGCTTTCTGGACTGTAGAATAAATGTTCTGCCAGATTTCTCATAAAGTCTCAACTCTGCATCCATGTTTACAAAGTTCTATGCAGTTGTGACCCTCTTGTTTTATTTTATGAGTGAAAATAATAACTGCTTCGGACATTTTTTTAATCAACAAGTATGTTAGGATCACAATCAGTGTCTATTCCAGGGTGTCTATGGAAGAGGTCTTTTTATTCCCTGCTGAGAGTCACATTTGCTCAGGGCATTGGGTAGTGACCTTTCTACAATTCTCTTATTTTCTCTTCTCTTTGACATTCCCTTTCCCCTTGTTATGTAGTCTGATAGCCTTATGAAATTAGGCCAAGGGCTACAAGCTTTCTATCCCTGGTCTATCCATTACAGTCTTATACAAGTATCCAATGTGAAAACACTTCAGTAATTTGCAATACAAGTGCAGTTCGATAAGTACAGAAAACTAACTAACCACATTGTTACTGTGCAGAAGTTTCTGCTCTTTTAAATGTTTGCTTTTAAAAAAATGCAACACAGACCACCAGTTTTAGCTTTATAGTATTCTGTGGTTGCTGTTGCTTCACTCCTTAGTTATTTACTTGTTCTGTTACTCTGCAGTAAATACCTATTTGTCCATGTAATCCTGAAGTGTTTCATCACTAATTCCTAGTTCTTTATCCGTGGAAGTAGATGACTAAACTGTTCTTAGTCGCAAAAGCATATTCATACGGGCATTGTTTCAAAAAGTCAATAAAACATTTTATCTTTTCCTTGGATTTACATTTTTTTCTTAAGAAAAAAATTGTTTCTTAAAAAAATAATTATTGAAGCCTGGGAAGTTTTCTGTTGTGTGCAATTTCACACTTAAAAATCCAGATAAATCATAGAAATCTACACATATAAATGACCTTGAAGCTTGTTCATGCCATATCAAACTGAATCTCAGTAGTACTGGCATCTATATAAATTACAGAACTATAGAGCTATGTAAACAATCATTTCTATTAATGCAATTATTGTATGCCATTACTGTACCAATGTGGATTAAAAATATTTAAAAATATCTCAGAAAGCATCACAATGAGTTTGATGTGGTTTTAGGGGCCAAATGACTGGCAATCTTTCAACCAGAACACTGGTGAAAATGGCAACATAAAGAATTGATGTACATTCTGAACTTCTGAAGCTGCCTTTAAAATCAAGCAAAACAAAGCTTATACAGTAGCACATAACACTTTGAAGATTCAGCATAATGGCACGGTGCACTAGTAACTATTCTTTAAAACAGAACTTCAGACATTAGCAAACCCACTCAGCTAAAGTGCTTCAGTTGCTAGCACTACATAAATCACTTTAATGCATCCTCGAACACATCCCATAGCTTACTTTCTCTCCAAGTAAAATGATTTAACTGCATGCAAAATGTGGCACAGTTGAAAAAAACCAACAGTAATAGTCTTTCCATTTAACAATAAAATACCATTGGTTGTATGATCTCTTAACACAGCAATCCTAAACACAATTTTTTAAAAATGGCTTTACTGAACTTATTTCTAAATTAATCTTCATATAAACATATTTAAGAGAGGGTGTAAGATGGGAAGAGCAATCCTAACCCTCCCCAGTGACTGATCTGAGCAACATAGCCATTGCTGCATCTGAAGCCTTCCCAGGTCCTGCTGGTTGGGGCAGAGGAATGTTACATTTTCATTGCACTGACTCTAGGCTGGTGCAACAAAGAGGCCCAAATCAGGCCCTCACTTGGCAATGAATATTCATTGTGTGCTTAGTCACATTCAATATCCTGGCAAGCTAGCAACAGAAAACAACGATCCCAGACGGGATACCGACAAGGCACTCTAGACACTATACAGTGGTGCCTCGCAAGACGAAAAGAATCCATTCCGCGATTCTTTTCGTCTAGCGGTTTTTTCGTCTTGCGAAGCAACCCGCGAAGCGGATTAGCGCTATTAGCGGTTTAGCGCTATTAGCGGCTTAACGGGCTTAGCGGCTAAGCTGTTAAAAGCCTATTAACAGCTTAGCGGCTTTGAAAAAGGGGGGGGGAAGCAAAAAAAAATATGGCGAGACTCGCAAGACGTTTTCGTCTTGCGAAGCAAGCCCATAGGGAAATTTGTCTTGCGAAGTGCCTCCGCGACGGAAAACCCTTTCGTCTTGCGGGTTTTTCGTCTTGCGAGGCATTCGTCTTGCGGGGCACCACTGCCATTGCCTCTCCACTCCTCTCCCACTTTCTTCTGGCTGACTCCATGAGTACCCACAACTCCAACTGCTGACCAGTGCCCAGCCATATATATGCTTCTGGCCTATCTAGTCCACACTCAGCCAATCACACTGTCCAACTGAAAATTCTCAACCTTCATCCACCAATCAAAATATGCATATCTTCTATCCAGGGCTGGGCTACCTATGAGGCAACTGCCTCAGGTAACAGAATCCACAGGGGCTGCAGATCCCTTGTTCCTGATATAGATATTCACTATTTCCTTCTTCCCTGATGGGGAGGGGGGATGCCACTTTATCATTGCCTCAGGTGCCAAAATGTCTTGGGCCACTCCTGCTTCTATCTCCCTTCTGCATACTGAGAATTCTAACACCAATCCTTCTGCACACAGCTGTCAGTTAAGGCCCCAAGCAAGTTAACTAACTTTCACCAGACCAGACAGAAAACTTCTCAGATCAAATACATTACAATGTGCAATGCAATAACAAATGCCAGGACATGTTACACAATATCCATTAAAACGTTGTTCAAATAAGCAGGATTTCTTCCCAGATAGTAAGAGACATCATTAAATCATGACTTACTTCTTCTTCTCAGAAGTGAGCTATAAATCATATGAAAACTTCCTTTCAATCCTCTCTACCTTGAATTCAATTGGTCTTTCTTGATTCAATTTATTTTACTTCAAGCACATCCATTATTTTCTCAAGGTGGCATCTTGACAGCAATATGGCTAAGGAGCAAAGTTTGTTCTGCAGATTTAACAGTACCATCTTAAGAGCCTTTGGAACATTCTTGCACTAGGTCTATGAATCTACATAAATTAGTGAGGGCATCCCTGTTGGAGGTTCATCAAATTTTTTGCATTTGAAATGAAAGTATTAGGAAGTCTATTTGTAGATATACTTAATACATGTCATTTGGACATTAGAACAGATTATGTTTTCTTTCCAAATCCAGCATTCACTTCTAAATCTAACCTGCAATGTGGGACCTAGACTTCAGAGTCGAAAGCAAGATAGATCAATTGAGTTTAAGCGCTGCATAAGCTACCATGACCCATCTTGAACAGAGAAAACTTGGCTCATTGTTCTTCATATTCAAGAGTTCTGTAATGGGTTGTAGGCGGAGCTGCCTTTGACTAAGGTATGCCTGGCTATAGGGCACCTATTTTTGGTAAACTATGGCCTGGCTATAGGGCACCTATTTTTGTGGAGCTGTGCTGGATGCCTGTCTGTTTCAGGACATGATTCAAAGTTCTGGAACTTATCCATCAAGGCATAAGTGACTTGAGACTGGGTACCTAAAAGATCACTGCCTAACTTATGGGTCTGCCCAAATATTACTTTCCTTATCTGAATCCTTGCTTTGGGCCATCCCACCACCCAGCTAAATAACTCCTAGCAGTACAACAATCAATGCTCTACAACTGTAAGCTATAAGTGGTGGAATTGCAATGGACTGATTCCACTGGACTGGAATTGCTGTGCTTTCAGATCTCATGCACGTGCGTGTACATTAAATTGATGGTGGAAGCCATGAGGAATGGGCAGTATGTTAGAAGTACGATATGCAAGCCACGTTAAAACCGAGCCTGGCCCAAAAGTTCGCGCTCGACGAGAAATCACAGGCGGCCAAAAACCCGAACGGGCACCATCTGCCAGCGCCACAAGATGTCCTTCTAACATAACGAATGAAGAAGCAAACAGCACCGTCCGCTACAAACCAAATGGAAACACTTTTACCGCCCCGAGGCGCTTAAAGTTTTTCGAACGGATTAGGCTTTTGTAATGGAGGGGAAGTGGCCGGGTGTTCCGGATAAAATGGGGGGTGGGAGTTGGGAGGTTCTCCTATTTTGTCCTCTTCGTCACAACCTCGTTTCTTTCCTCAGTCCGCATGGCCCAGAACCGGCACCGGACCGAGTGGCTCCCCCCGCCACGGGGGTCTCCCTCCTCCTCCTCCTCCTCCTCTCAGGCGCGCCGAGGCCTTGCCGGCAACCAGAAGCCCCGAAGCCGGAGATGGAGGAGCGTCGCTTAGCAACCGCCCCTCCCGCTTCCAAACAGCGGAGGCAACCGCTGGAGCCGGAGCCGCCGGGCGCATGCTCCGTGGGGCCGGGCGGCGGGGTTGTGGCTCCGCTTCCCCTTCCGGCCGCCGCTTCGCTTGGGTCCACCAGCTCCTGTCAGTATGGCAGAAGGGAGGAGAAGAGAGCGGCGGAGGAGCCCACTCCTGTGGGCGGCAGGTAGTCGCCACGGAGGAGGGAGTGGGACGTATATGGCGGGAGCGGAAGAGGGTCGGAAGCTGCTCTGGGGGCGGCCAGGGGGCGGGTGGGGATGAATGGAAGGGGGGCAAGGGGTTGCTTAAGGGCCGAGGCTTCCCCTGCCTGCCTGGGAAGGGAAATGGCTGCGAGGGTGGGGGGCTGCTGCTGCTGCGTGAAGGGGAAGGCGAGGCTGTTCAGAGGCGCAAGTGTCGGGGGCGGGGCGCGTTTTGGGGGACCCCGTGGTGGCCACCTGCTGCACTTTTGGCAAAGGTCTGGGCCTCTTCTTGGCCAAGGGAGGAGTCTGAGGAAGCGACGCCCCACCCATTGGGACCCACAGAGGGGCAGGCGGCACATGGCACCTGCTGCCTGCTTGACCATAGAATCAAGTGGCGGGTGTGTGTGTGTGTGACAATGGGCAGTTGCCACTCTCTCCAGCTTCTTCCCCATCTCGGTTTTTGTGGGAAGTACAGTAGGTGAGGGCAAGAGGCAGCTGTGCCCCTGCCCGCCTGTTTTTGTTTTTTTTAATCTTCCTCTCTCTGGGTGGGATGGCAAGGAGGATGGAGCCAGCAGGCCTGCTCATAAAGAGCAGGTGGGCTGGGAATGGCAACAGCTGATCCAGCAAGGCCTCCTCTTGCTTGCTGACTTTTGTTTCTTGGCCAGGGGGGGATGGGACGTAGTGTTGAGGACTCTGGCTTTATTTCTTCACTGTAAAGAGGAAGGGGAAGATGTGCAAGAGGGGGAAGAGTTAGCAGTACTGTGCCACTCGGAGAGAAGGAGGGGGGGTGAACAAGCAAGCAGAGTTGTTCTTGCCTATATACGCATCCTATCTGTGCCTTTTCCTCTTGGCTTCTCAAGGAGACAGTGAGCGAGCAGGTAGAGCTTCCCAGGGAGAGAGGACAATGGCCAAGTGATCATCAAATATCCTGAAACATTAAAACAGGTGGAACATGGTTTGGGGTCCATTAGAACTGGAGAGAAGTGAGACTTAGGTGGAAGCTAATTGTAGGGGTGTTGTGGAGGTGGGCTAGATAAGATATGAACAGACATTAGTATGCATATGTGAGACCAAGATATACTTTCTCTTTTTGGTAGTTGCTGCATTTATTTTGGTAGTTGATGCATCTTTCGTGGAAGACTTAGATGACTCGTAAGTATGCAGTGTTTTTATTGTAGATGATGGCTTTAGACATATCACATGTAGATGTTTTTGTGGTATTCATTGGCAGGTCACTTCATGCAGCATGCTCTTCTTACACATGAGTATGTTGCAGAGTCCAAATGCATAAAAGTCAATCACCTTGTCATTCACACATGGACCTTCTCTGTGGTAGGAAACACAAAAGAAAAATAAGAACCTATAATGAATTCAAAAAGAAATGGGGTTGTAGTGGGGGTGGGCTACAGAGAGGAGCAGGGAAGCAAAGTCACTTTGTGCAAGCAGAAATTCACTTGTTTAGTGTGGGATTCCATACATAATTTTTTATCCACATTGCTGACATTTAAGAGGAGAAAACTAAACACAAATCAGATGCAAGCAATGCTTCCAGGCACATGACTGCCCTTGTGGATCCTGCCACCCAATGCTGTTTCCTCGCTTTGCCTCTAGAGTGGGTTAGCCCTACATCCACTATTTTAAAAAAAACCACTTTGCTAGCAGCTGTGAAGCATGTTGCAATCTCCAATGACATAGCAACAAACTGTCAGAAAAGTGCACACAATGTGAATTTCAAATTGGATTGGTATTGCCCTTTCAGCAACTTACCTCCACCAGCTGCTTGGTGCCAATAAAGCTCATCAGAAATATCTCATCTCTTAGACACTTAGTTAAGCTGCTGACCCAACTTTCAGGCTTGCAGAACAGTCTGGGCTCAGATACTGGCTTCATCAAAACTGTTTCTCTGTCTGGTTTTGAGTTACAGGCACCTAAATAGCCATGCTCCCTCTATTATTATTATTATTATTATTATTATTATTATTGTTACTATTTATTTATTTATTTATTTAACTGTCCTACAGCTGAAGATCACAGGGCAGTTCACAACATAAAAATAAAAAATGAGAACACCAAATACATAATCAAACAAAAACAAACACAAACCAATAGCCACCACCCCCACCCCCCAAAACACATAAGCATTTCAGATCAGGGCTGTGAAGCAGGGGAATGGGATTTATAGCTTTTCATTTTCCCTTTAAAAATTGCCACCCCAACTGCTGACCGCATGTACGACAAATACTGCATGTTATAGTATTTGTTGCTTGCAACTGCTTTTACAAGAGGGTGAGTGTGGGCGTGGGCACACAGGATACTAGTGCCCTTATCTTGCCTAGTTTGTCTGTAATTTAAATACAGAATCATAGAAACTTAGAGTTGAAAGGGACCCCAAGGATCATCTAGTCCAACCCCCGCAATGCAGGAATCTCAGCTAAAGCATCCATACAGATTGCCATCCAACCTCTGTTTAAAAACCTCCAAGGAAGAAGAGTCCACCACCTCTCGTGGGAGTCTGTTCCACTTCTGAACAGCTCTTACTGTCAGAATGTTTTTCTAAATAGTTAGTCAGAATCTCCTTTCTTGCAACTTGAAACCATTGGTTCTTCTCTCCAGAGCAGGTCCCTTCTCCATGTGACATCCCTTCATATATTTGATGATGGCTATCATATCTGCTCTCAGTCTCCTCTTTTCCAGGCTAAACATACCCAGCTCCTTCAAGCACTCATAAAGCTTACCTTCCAGACCTTGATCAGCTTAGTTGCCCTCCTCTGCACATGTTCCAGCTTGTCAACATCCTTCTTAAATTGTGGTGCCCAGAATTGGACACAGTATTCAAAGTGTCGTCTGACTAAGGCAGAATAGAGTGGTACTATTACTTCCCTTGATCTCGACACCATACTTCTATTGATGCAGCCTAGAACAGGGTTCACTTTTTTTTTGCTTCTGCATCACATTGTATTTGTTTGCTCTTACAGTAATGAAGACCCAACTGAAATACATTTGACTTGTTCTTACAGTTGTAATTTTAAGCTTGATTTATATTGCAAATATCTTGCAGATTGCATGCTGCACTTTTACATATTAAAACACTTTAGAAATGTAAGAAATGGACTGTAAAGTAACACAATAGACAAAGTAAATGTTGTGAACTGTATATATAGACTATGCCAACAAAATAGTGATGTATCGGTTGTTTACCTTTATAGATATCAGATAACTAATCTGTAATTTGTGTTGGCAAATAATTAGTTGACCTTAATCGCATGCTCAGAAGTATCATATGCCTGGAACATGTTAACCCATTTAAGCTTTTTAAGCCTCTTACAAATTATTTAAGACCTATTAATTTTGGTGGTGGTTGCTACTATTACTACTAATAATAAGCATATTTTCTTGTATTGCTTAAGTGCATAGGTAAAAACATTTTTAGTGTGGTCTTCAATATTTGTGATGTATTGCTAGTCCACAGGATAATGGTTATCATCATGAAGGATGGGAATTATTTACAGTGGTACCTTGGGTTACATACGCTTCAGGTTACAGATGCTTCAGATTACAGACTCCGCTAACCCAGAAATAGTGCTTCAGGTTAAGAACTTTGCTTCAGGATGAGAACAGAAATCGTGCTCCGGCGGCGCGGCAGCAGCAGGAGGCCCCATTAGCTAAAGTGGTGCTTCAGGTTAAGAACAGTTTCAGGTTAAGAACAGACCTCCGAAACGAATTAAGTACTTAATCAGAGGTACCACTGTATATTGGGAAGCGGGTGGCGCTGTGGGTAAAACCTCAGCACCTAGGACTTGCCGATCGTATGGTCGGCGGCTCGAATCCCCGCGGCGGGGTGAGCTCCCGTCGTTCGGTCCCAGCGCCTGCCCACCTAGCAGTTCGAAAGCACTCTTAAGTGCAAGTAGATAAATAGGTACCGCTTTATAGCGGGAAGGTAAACGGCGTTTCCGTGTGCTGCACTGATTTAGGCTCGCCAGCTTCGTCACGCTGGCCACGTGACCCGGAAGTGTCTCCGGACAGCGCTGGCCCCCGGCCTCTTAAGCGAGATGGGCGCGCAACCCCAGAGTCGGTCACGACTGGCCCATACGGGCAGGGGTACCTTTACCACTGTATATGCCGTTAACAGCAAGGTATAAAGGAGTCTTCGGTAGTAAAAACAAGCTCTTCTCTTGCTTTTGTATTATTTTAATAAAATGTATAATACTTGTCAAGCATATTTAATCAGTTACGCTTATTTCCTAGGTTTAAAGAGAACCGTAAAGATGACATTTGGCTTGTAGATGTGAGTATAACAGCAAAAAAGCAAAACAAACAAACCCCGCACCACAAAACTATTCAAAAACAAAATATATGTTTGTTTGAAAAAAGCTTCTACATTCATGCTTATCTTAATCTCTACGGAAGAAAAAAACAAGTTATAAATACAATACAATACAATACAATGAATTATACTTATCAGCAGTGGATTCTCATAATACATGAGGGTTTAATGTAGGTACTCGTTGCTGTGTGGCCCTAATAAAAAAGATTCCATTGTTGAAAAATCTGGAGTGCAAATGTTAATTATGTTGATGGGCAGATAAACTCTTTGTAATGGTATGATAATCCAAAAATTGCTTTGTTTCAAGTTGATCGCATGCAATTTTGCTTTGTGTGTGTGTGTCATATATAAAAAATAGTAGTGAACAATATGCTAACTACTGCACATTGAAGTATTACCTGGACAGCACTGTTAATATGCAGTATTTTAAAGACCTAGATACATGAAATTTTTGTTCGCTTTTATTTATTTTTCCAATAAGTATAATTTTTGTTTAGTTTTTAATTTTCAGAATAAATGCCCTGTAACTGAATTGATATTCTATTATCCAAGCAGGTACTGGAAGAATTCATTTTGTTGTAGAAGTATAATGATGAGCAAACTCAAAATGTACTGCTAAATAGACAAATTTTGTGCACATTTGAGAAATGTGGTAGTTTCCATCTGTCCCCATGGGTGGTTTCATATACAAGTACATGTTTAATAGTTTCTCCAAAGACTTCACTGGCTATGTGTTTTTTGTTGTTGTTGTTTTTTGTGTGTTCTCAGTTTTATGCACCATGGTGTGGCCATTGCAAGAAGTTGGAACCGGTGTGGAATGAAGTTGGTAAAGAGATGGGAAGCACTGGTTCACCAGTCAAAGTTGGGAAGATGGATGCAACTTCTTATTCTAGTAAGTGCTCTAGTAAGGTCTTCTGATCTGTGTTAGAATTTTTACTCTTTGAAAGTAACATGAAAGCCAGTAAGTTAACCAAACACAGATAAGCAAATTCAGTGTTGGTACAAAGCTCAGTGGGGAAATTGGCATGGCCTCTTGACCTCTATTCTTTCATGGAAGGATGCACATCATCTGACAGCCTGTTCCTATAGAAATAGGATTATATATGCAACAGTTTGTATGTTATAAAAATGTCTGCTGCTGTTTGTTTGCCACTACAAGAAATGCCAGTAATACGTTTTGGAATATTGTAATTGTATTAATTAAAAATGCCCTTTTAAATGCTTGGTTATACTACTGTTTGTTTGTAGGCATTGCCTCTGAATTTGGAGTTCGAGGCTATCCAACAATTAAACTGTAAGTAGAATTTTGTGTCTTGTATATTAAAACTTTAGTGCTTTGTAGTATCATTAGTGTCTCTTGTGCAGAGTGTTCCATTCTGATGTATTGGACCATTATTTAAGTTTCTTCTTTGTTCCCCACTCCTGATTCACCTAAAAGCTAACTGATGTTGTGAGGAACATCATTGCTACTTAGGTGGCCCTCCCACTGCAGTAAGGCTATTGAAATACGTTGCTACTGTGTGTTCATAAAATGTGAGCCCTGGATTGAACTTTTTCCAGTTAACTGTATGTGCTAAAAGTATTGCAGCACTTGAAATATTCATCCAAGATGTTGACTATTATTTTACGTAGGTTAAAGGGTGATTTGGCATACAACTATAGAGGACCCAGGACCAAAGATGATATTGTTGAGTTTGCAAACAGAGTAGCAGGGTGAGTATTTATAACTTCAGTTTTGTATGGCATGTGGAGTGGAGAATATGTGGCAACAGTAGAATGTGGGTGACTTAGCCCATGGTACACTATACAAGCAAAGTGGCTTAATGTCATAACTGACAATTGATTACAGTATTCTGAGGTAGCTCATAATTCTGTTTCATAATACATAAATATATGTATATAGAAAGAGTGATTCTATGAAGTGACATCTTGACTTCTAAAATCCATCCAAGTAATGTGTTTAATCTAGCATGCATACATGAGCCCTTTAATCTGTTGCAGGTATCATATTCCACCACCCCCATGCCTCTCTAAACCGTCCTTTAGTTTTCTTTACAAAGCCTTTAGATTTCAGTCTTACAAACTGTTCACATAGCTCAGCCCATGAATATCCTGGTCTTGACAGGCAGTATGATTACATGAAAAGATTTGTCACCCAAAGCCGCTTGTTTAATAAGTTATTAATATATGTGCTTGTCATTCCAAGGTCAGTTCCTTCTTATTCTGTCAGAAGGAGGGTGGAGATCTTTGTTGTTGTTCCAGAAAATTTGTGAGATAGAAAAATTAAGCTACAGTTGTTGATTAACTGTCAGTTAATAACAGCACTTTTTCCAGACATCTCTTCTGTGCCTTAGTCTGTAGTAACCTATAGTTGTCACGAGGTGTTAAGATAAAATTTAGCCACCTTATTTCACCTTATTGTGATGTCTGCATGGAACTATTTAGACTTTAGCAGCTATTTCTTTAACAAATGCCTGTGTTCAGTTCCTAGAAGTCTTACAACATCTTGAAAAACATAGCTATCATAGTAGGAAACACTGGGAGAAAATACATCTAACAACATGATGAAATTACCACTACAGTTCTTAATTAAGTCTTTAAAATGTTTCTATATTGACTCCAGTAATGATGCAACTATAGAACACAGTTGCTGAACTGGAAAGCTAGGATAGGATGATGTAACATTTTCTAATAATTATTAGATGCTAGATGAAAAGAAATGCTAGCAGGATTTCCCTTCCCCCATTTTTTTTTTTTAAATGCGTCTTTATTTGGCTTGGTCAAGGCAAAAGTTCACTAATGATTTTCATGTGTTCTCCTCAGATTCTAAACACTTAGATAATTTCTTAGTGCTGTCATCTGATACTTGAAAGTGCATCCTTTTAAAAAATGAAAATAAAGGTTTTTGGTGGATAATGCCAGTACATGAGGTTAGCACATTGTAGTTGATTTCCTACCCCCCACCCCAATTTCCGCATATAGAAATATGTGTAAGTGTTGAAATATTTACAAGAGAAGACAAACTGCTGTGATTCAGCACTCCTGTATTGAGTTCTCATTGGTCTTAGATTTAAAGGTGTTTAAAATGATCAGTACAGTACTCAGGGACAGCAATTGGAAGCTGCTTTTCTTGCTCCCATTTATCTGTTTTCTTTATTTTATTCTTCAGGCCTATTATTCGACCCCTCCCTAGCCAGCAGATGTTTGAACATGTGCAAAAGAGGCATCGTGTATTTTTTCTTTACATTGGTGGAGAATCTCCATTGAAGGTTTGTGTCAGAGCTGCCCTAGGTCCCAGCTCACAAAGGACCAACGCCACTTCGTTGTTATATACAAAAGTCTTTATTGAAGTTCATTTTCGCTTTCACAGCCGCGGCGCGCAGCTCTACGTCTCAAACTCTAGACTGCCGAAGCTCCGTCTGAGTCTCCTCCCCCCAGACACCAGTTTAAGACTCTAGCCTTGCTCCACCTCTTCCTTTGCTCTTTCCTCCTCTGGGTCCGCCTGTCCGCTGGGGTTTTGCCCTTCCCAGACTCTTCTGACGCTGAGTCCCCTGAGTCTTCCCCCTGCCTCCGGCGGGCTTTAGGACCTGGTTCCCAATCCGGGTTTTCTGCTGTCCCGCGCGCTTGTACATTTGAACTTGGCGCGCGCGCCCAGCCGGCCACCTTCCTCCTGACCGTTACACTGCTCCTGTCACTGCTTCCCCCTTCGGGGATGCTAGCTGGGTCTGACCTCCCCTCCGTTCCCCCACTCTCCGATAGAGGCGTGGTCAGCCCTGACTCCTCTTCCCTCCCTGCTGGAGGAGACGCTGGCCCTGACACATGGGACTCTTCCCCCCCACTACGCTCTGGTGGGGAAGCTGGTCCTGATCTCCAGCTGCTGCTTTGGGAGTCCCCGCTGGCCCCTTGCTTCTGGTGCGTCCCCCCTGGGACCCCCCTTGCCCTGACCATCGGCGCCCCCTTCTGGGAATCTTCTGATTCGCTAGAGAGGCTCATGGAATCTCTCGGGTCACTGTCATTCTCCCCTCCGCTGCCCTCAGATTCTTCCCCTTCGCTCTCCATTTCCTCTCTCCCCTGTGCCTCTGCTCCTGAGCCCCTGACAGTTTGAAACTTCATTTAAATTTTTGTTTACTGATTCCAAAAGAGTATTACATTTTAATGCATGCTTCCTAAGATTGTTCTGGTAGCTGGCATCTCAACCCTAAGTAATTTTACCAAATCTGCAAGGGTACTTAAAGTTGCAGCTTTGGGACCATAAATAAATAAATATATTCAGTGCAGTGAGGTAGATATATTTAGATTCATAGAATTGTAGAGTTGGATTTAATGATGCTATGATGTTATTCCTTTGATGAAGAAGATTCCTAGAAACTGAGTTGTTAATCTCCTGGAAGTACAAAAATGGGCCTGTGGATTGTGCCTCTGGGATTTCATACCATAACCTACCCTGCAAATTGGAGGAATGGTGTGGGAGGGAATGGACGAATAAGAGTGCTACTTCTCTGTCACATGACATCATGAGGATCAGCTGGCAGTAGAAAGACACATTGACATAGTATGACTATGTTGAGACACAGTCACAAGTACTTAAGGCCAGGGTCAGGAACTTGAAGCCTAAATTGCTTTCAGATTAATTTTGTGGGAGCTGTGGGGAGCAGAGAGGAAGAGAAACATGAGGGGAAAGGAAGAGGAAGCTAGAATAAATGGAGAGATGAGAAATTAAAAAAAAATTCCTCTGCAAGTGATCAGTAGCCATATGCTAAGAGTGATCTGTCCCTTCTCCGGCAGCCTCCTGGGAAGGAAGGATGGGTGAGAGAGAGGAAAGGCTGTTCCTCTATGACTTCAGGCCCCAACACCAGCATGCAGCTCTCAACCCAAAAAGCTTCCTTGCCCCTGCTTTGGTGAATGAGGAACCAACATTTAGCAGTGAAACATTGTATTTTTGTTTTGCTATGTTTGTTATGAAGATTGAGAAACTGTTTTAAAATGTCTATTTGTATTTCCACAGGAAAAATACATAGAAGTTGCTTCCGAACTAATTGTTTATACCTACTTTTTTTCTGCCTCAGAAGAGATACTACCTGAGGTAAATTTATTCAAGAATGTATGTAAATAAACACTGTTAGATTACCGTTAAAAATGTTTGAGGTGGTGGGGTGTTTTCATGTTTTGTTTTGTTTTGGTGTGCTTTACATGAATGCAAGTAAGAATTGTCATCTGAAGTCTTTCTCCGCAATCGGAAATGAGCCATTTAGGTGTGACAATGCAACATGTCCAGTTACGGCTTTGTGAAGTAGCCACAGCTGGTAAGGCAAGGCACTGTTAAATTTCAGCTCCATTGGCTGTGGAATCAGCACCATCTAAAATTAAGAAGAGACTCTTATTGGGCACACAGTTTAGTTGCACATGTTCTGTTTAGGTCTGTCTTTCCTTGAGGTCTTTGAAAAGGGGGATGGGGCTGATTCCGGTTCTGATTTTTCTTTGTGTGCAAGGTAGACATGGAGCTGTTGGGAGTATAATTCTGACATGTTCTTGTTGCTACTTGACAAGGGAAAGAGAACAGCTTCAATCACTTAATGGGAGACCATGGGTGATGAAAGTGATTTGTAGAGGATAGGATAGTAATGTTTACTTAAATTATTGGAGATTGCAATGGTAAGGCTGGAATTTAACATCATGCCTTGCCAGACAGAACAGTCTCCCTTCTCCTCCTCCTGCATGCTGTTCTGTGGGTTCTCCTGACACACCCAAGTGGATTTGTGGGTTCAGGGGTGTAGGGGCGAGAGCGTCATTGCTCTAGTGCAGTGTTTCCCAACCTTGGGCCTCCAGCTGTTTTTGAACTACAATTCCCATCATCCCTGACCACTGGTCTTGCTACCTAGGGATGATGGGAGTTGTAGTCCAAAAACAGCTGGAGGCCCAAGGTTGGGAAAAACTGCTCTAGTGAAAGCCTTTGCAGTGACTTTCGCTAGCACACCTGGTTAGTGGAAACTGGTCCTAAGTCTTCTCAATAATATTTTGCATCATTCTCTCTCTCTGTGTGTATATGTATATATATATATATAGAGAGAGAGAGACCCAATGTTCCTTTACAGTTAGTGTTGCTCATTCACAAATCTATGCTGTAGTGCACTTAAGATAGTTAGATCTCTCTGATCCTAGTTTGCATTCTCATGCAAAAAGAAGTTTAAAAGATGCGCCCTATACTAGTTATATTTGGGGAGGAAATGTAAATACTTTACCAGCCCATTTTAATACTATATAAAGATTTTTTAAAATGTGATTTTCCCCATTGTGTTGTCATTGTTTTGGGTGGCAGATGTATTATAAGAGTTAGATCCTCTCATGAAGATGACCACAGTGGTGGTGGTAAGGTTCAAGGTAAAGTTCAAAAGACAATTCCTTGCATTTTTATTCTTTGGCAGCATAGCTGCATTATTTCATGTGTGTGTGTGAGAGAGAGAGTCACTAGTATACCTTTAGGGCTTGGTGCACAAAAATGAGGCTATTTTCATGTACACAAGGCATCATCTATTGTCTCTGCTGGCTTGCAGTTTGTCCCACTTTGTGTAATTTTTTTACTATCCTCAGGGTTTGAAACTGCAAAAAATAGAGACAATAGAATTTTAAATTATCTAGAGATAATTAGCTAAAGTAGTGCTTCAGGTTAAGAACAGTTTCAGGTTAAGAACAGACCTCCGGAATGAATTAAGTACGTAACCAGAGGTACCACTGTACAAAAATAAAATTTCCTCATATCCAACCTCCTTTCTTAATAGAACATTTCTGCACACAGTTTATTTTTTGGTATTGCCAGTTTTCTCCTTCAAAAATGTTGCCTAGCTTTTATGTCCTCCAACTGGGGAAAGAGATTGGGAAGAATATCTGCATCAGAGGTGCATGGTCAGTGTATTAGGTTGTGATGCTTACTCTTAATTTTATGTATGACTTACAATTTATATCCTGCCTTTCTGCATATAGCACCCAAGGCAGCTAACAGCAATACAAATGAAAAATATAATGAGCCCAAATAACAGACTGAGAAAGCAAATAGAACCCATAAACCAGTCAAAGAAACCAACAGATGTAACTTTTTAACTTACAGGTCATCGTAATATATTTTGATGTGACGTCAGCCTGACAAGCCAATGCTAATTTAAAATTAAAATCTTCACCTGTTGAAAGAGAGACATTAAAGAGGGTGGTGATATAGGCATCTCTAGGCGGGAGACGCCATGGTGTTTTTATTTTTTTTACACCTTCACACTGTTTTTATTCAGTGACTTTGTGTTTTATGAATATTTATAAGCCACTTCATGGTCTTTAACTGAAAAGTAGAATCAATAAAAAATTGGGAAATATAAATGTAACCTGAAAGTTTCTTTGTGCCATTAAAGTGTTTGCTTTATCTTTTTTATCTTTCAGTATGTGACACTCCCTGAGATGCCAGCTGTTATAGTTTTCAAAGATGGAACTTATTTTGTGTATGATGGTAAGTTATAGATCAAGAGTAATATGTCAGTAACATGTATTGGATTCCTCCCCCGGCATTTTAAGGATTCTAGCCCTAATACGTCTCAGTCTAGATGCTGTTACATACGTCTCAAAAATATCAAAATGTGTGTTGATTGTGCACAGTCTTTGATAATTTAGAGATGTAAAAGCAGTGCCATGCTGGCTCAAACTGTGACTTGCATCTGTGTCATGTGCTTCAAAGTAGGTTGTTCCTCGTATTTATTAATTATAAACAGGCACTCTGTAAGTTTCAGTTGTGCACACGGTGCATTGTTAGGCCTGGTGTATATTTTAATTCCCTCCCCAGGTTTTCTTTTCTAGTTGACTTGGGATTCTATAGCAGATCTAGGGTTCCTTCCCATTAATATTTTTACCTGAAGTTGTTGTTGGTCTGGTAGTTCTACAAAATTTGAAGTTCCCCAAAGTCTGCTGACACTTCTTTCTTCTTCCTGGATGTTGCCACTTTGGTTACATGTGGGTTTGGATTCAGACCTACTCTTCCATGAATGGAAGGGCTCCTTCCGTTTATGGAAATGAGTCAGATCCAGTAGAGGCTGCATCTCTGCTTACTGAAACTCACAGTGACAGAAGAGGGAGAAGGCTATTTGGGTAGTTGTCACTTAGCTGCACCACCTGCCCTGAAGAGTACCTTAATCCTCTGCAGCAGATTATAAGGGGGGCTGCCATTGAGTGGGACAATTGGCTAAAATTGCCTTTCGTCTACAGAATAATCCATTTTTGAGTTCCACTCTGAGCAATTTTGAATCCAAACAGTAGACTGACACTTGGAGAAACAATATGCTCTTAGTATGTCCAACCAGTAGATCGCAATCTGTGCAATCCTCCTCCCGGAAAGCTCAACAACTCTGGGCACTTCCCTCCTAAAAGAAGCTCAACAACTCTGGGCAATCCACACACCCCCAGCTCCTCCTCCCTCCAATGACAATGGGTAGATCACTGCCAGATTTTTTATACTGGGAGTAGATCAGTCTCTTGGGCATTGGACATGCCTGGTATATATGATAGTGTTAGAAGAAGGCATGAGCATTTTATTTTTTCTTTCACTGTTTTTTTTTTTCTTTTTAAAGAATATGAAGATGGTGATTTGTCATCCTGGATAAGCAAGGAGAGATTTCAGGGGTATCTTAATGTTGATGGATTTACTCTGTATGAACTTGGAGACACAGGTAAGATGACCTTCCTTCAGAACTTAATTGTATGCTACCTTAACACTTTTGTATGTAAAGTCAGCTGCAATTTTAAAAAGCTGCTTTATGTTGTACTATGCCTGGGAAACATCAAAGGATTTTATGGATTATGGATTTTCCACGGATTCATGTCCCTTCTTCAGATCCTGCTTGAATGATGCCAAACATTCACACCACTTCTAATGCTAGTAATCAGCACTCTTCAAAACTCCCTTCCCATTGAAAGCTAAATCTAGGCTAGAACACCTCTCCCAGACATGATATCTTTTTGTGGGCAGCAAATTTCAGTCTTGTAATCCCCCACATATTTTGAAATGGGACAGTTCTCCTGTAACAGTAACCTACTTGAACAATGAATTATTATAGGTGATAGGCATTGTGTAGGACACACACAGAATAACTTCAGAAGAAAGTTTAATAGTAGTGATGGACTTTCCAGCTTACTCTATTCTGCTCCATGCCTTCCATCAAGGTATGTTGTAGCTTGTGTATCTATAAGACCTTTCCATTTGAGAAAGTGCTTTGTGGTTGGGGATGAGTAGTGCTTTATTTTCAGTAGCATTTCCCATTTCTGGAGCATATGGCAATGCTTATATATATATATATATATATATATATATGGTTACAAAATAGCTGTTCTGTTTTCTTTGGGGATGGGAGGTTACTTAAATAAGAAGCATCTTTCTGTAGACATATCCTAAATTTAGTTCTATGTCTTTTGCTTTTTAGGAAAACTTGTGGCTATTGCAATTATTGATGATAAAAACACTTCTGTAGAACATATTAGGTATGTTGGTGTGTATACGTGATAAAACATAACAAACCATTTAGAAAATGACACCTCTTGAACATCATACTGCATGAACCCTGCTCCAATCCCTAACTTGTCTGTTGTTGGACTACGTTGTTTAAAAACTAATATAAAAGGAAGCTGCACATCAAAAACAAGCCATAGGTTTATTCAGATATTATTAATAAAGGGAAAAGGGTATGGTCCTATCTACAGTTACTAGGAATTAAGTCCCGGTGAAGTCACCATTCATGGGATCAGGTTTCCCTTTTCTTTTCTTTTGCCAATTTTTTAATTGATTTTCCAAATTATTACAAATTAAACCAAATTAATTTAATACAATCTCATTTTTTTAAAAAACCTGGTTTCCTATCCCATTACAAGCTATGTCCAAGATGCATCTCCACTGCTCCATCCATTGTCGCTTCAGTCTCTAGCTGACATCATTTCACTTGCTATTGTTGTCCATTCATTCAGCTGCCCTTTTTATTACCCTTTTAATCAGATAAGATTGAGCTGTATGTCATACATATGAAGCTTCTGTATTGAAGGGCACAGACAAATACAGTCATACCTTGGTTGTCAAGCGGAATCCGTTCCGGAACTCCATTCAACTTCCAAAAATGTTTGAAAACCAAGGCATGGCTTCCGATTGGCTGCAGGAGCTTCTTGCACTCAATCGGGAGCTGCGGGAGCTGCGTCGGATGTTCGGCTTCCAAAGAACGTTCGCAAACCGGAATACTTCCAGGTTTGTGGCGTTTGGAAGCCAAAACGGATGAGTACCAAGGCATTCAACAACCAAGGTATAACTGTACTCATATAGTATGTAGTGGCACAAAACTGAGTAGAATCTGGATTTCTTGCAAGTCAGGAGCCATGGAGCAGTCTAGATGTAATGGCCAAACCGTCCCTTGGCCTTCATAAACAGGTTTTATGCTTAGATACTCCCTTCTTATCTCCATGGCTCATTGTGTTTCACTGCTGAATGTACAGCAATGCTGTACAATACCATTGCTGAACAGATTCTGTTTATATTTGTGGAAATACTGTGAAATGTTTCTTTTTACAGGTTGAAGTCTATTATGCAGGATGTTGCAAAAAATTATAGAGACCACTTTCATAGGTACGTGCATATATTTAATCACTTGTTAATTGTTCCTAATCGTGTGTTAAGTGGGTTGAATAAGTACTGCAAATTCTAGTAGTTTTGAGTGTGACAGTTAACAAGAAATCCATTCATAATAGCTAGGTAATCTTAAGACTATATACACAAATTGCCCACATTTAGGAGAAAAGTAGAAGAAACTAAGCTTTAGTTACTAAGCTTTAAGCATACGTTTTGAAAAAGTGTGTGTGCTGCATTTTCTTTTAAAAAAGACTTTTAAAATACCCTAACACATGTATGTCACACATTTGCTGTCTGGCGGAGCACCTTCTGATGTCAAGATAGAATAGAAACTAGGTTCTTCATTGAAAAAGTATACATTCACAAATAACTGTAATGAGAAATAAGTAATACTGAGATGGAAAAGCTCTTTTGTTTTATTAGATCTCTAATATGTGTGCAGATCGGTTTACCATATTGACATCAATTTAAGCTGCAATTATTAGCCACTTGAAAATACAAATATTAGCTCATGCAGAGCAAGATACTTTGGCCTTTTTTAAGCTTTCAGATATATGAACAGACAGCCAGATCCTAAATGGCTGTAGCTAGATGTTTATCCTGGCACTACTTTTCTGAGAATAGTTTTCTGGTCCAAAGGGACCAAGGTACAGGAGATACCAAAGCTGTACAACAATGTTGCTACCTATGGGTTTTGTTCAACTAAGGGCAGCTCTTCTGGAGGTTGTAAATTACTTGTGCGCAAATGATGAAGCGTGAGAGTGGTTTAGGGGAATGCAGAAGCAATCTAAACAACTCTCACCTTCTTGTTATCTTAAGACAGTGCATTCAACATTTACATTTTCTATTGGGACAGTTAAATTCTTTACCAAGAAAAAGGAAATGTGCAGAATTAGTCCATTTTTGTGTACTCCATATTCGGTTCCTAATTTTTAATTTTGTTCTTGTTGTGGGGAGGGGCAAGGGGTTGTGCTAGTAGGCACTGGAGTGCCCCTCTCACATTCCTGGCTACTACTGGTAATATTGTTTGGCCTGTCCAGGTTCTTAGGATCCAATAATTCACAAGGGTATAAGATCCAACTGTTTAAACAAAAGATGTACACAGTCCCTTGCTTTTGCCTAGCTATGGGTTGCATCCAGTGCTCTGTTAGCAGAGTTCTGCTTGCACATTGAGACTTCCATTTCATCTCTTCCCCCTGTGTATCCACAAAATCTGCACACATAGGAGAGGAGGAAGAAAGTGTGTTTTGTGAGCAGAGCTGCAGCACTGGATATGACCCTGTGTTAACAAGTCCTTCTCGCAAATACAGTTGCTGAAATTAGTCCATTTTTTATAATTTGAAGTAACGACCATACACAAGATTCTAGCAGTGGATAATTCATGGAAGTAGATCACCTGACCTCTTATACACTGCTTTGGAAGAGTTGTACTGAAGGGTGGTTTGTAACTAAAATGAATGGATTGGATACTGCTTTAGAACTGTCTGTTTATTGTCCACATTTTCCACTTAGCCAAGAAAATATAGTGGAAATAAAAGTGCAGAAAAGTGTAAAATGTGATTCATTGCCATGATCAATATTAAGAGGAGAGTATCGCTAGAACTCTGAAAAGGAATAAGCATGTTAGGAGTGATTATACAAAAGATCTTTTTGTTGTGGGTTTCATGCTATCTTTTCACAAAGTCACACACTCCTTAAATCAGGATCCCTAATTCCCCCACTCCCCATGGGTTGGTGAGACCACCCTAATAACAAAATGATCAGTGTGGTAACAATAACTTCCTTTGAAGACACACTTTCACTGCCGGTCAGCTGATTGGCTCTGGGAGCAGGCAGTCAAAGGAGCTTGCTGTAACTGCTGATCAGCAATTGCAGCAAATCTGTTTGGCAGAAGCAGTTTCGATTCAAACCGCTGCCTCCAAATGAGGAACCTCCAAGTTTGCCTCCAAGTTCTCCAAATATAGATGGATACAACTTACTGTCATTTTTTTAAAGTTAGGTTTAATTAACAATTTGTATTTTGACTCTTCACAGGAGCTTCCAGTTTGGCCATATGGATGGTAATGAATACATGAATAGTTTACTAATGGAGTAAGTATGTTTTTGAGATTTCATGCTATTAATATCATTTGTGTAGTAAGGTTTATATTTTGAAACTCTGTTCTTGTGTTTGCTGTAAGCAGGTTACAAATATCTATAGAAAGAGAGCATATAAACTTGGTGTGAAAGTTGATCAGTATATGCATTGGTTTTGCACAGTGTAGGATGAGCTACTCTGCCCAGTGATTGCCTTCACAAGAATGGATTCAGCATGTTCCCTCCATGGAATCACTGTGAACCCTGGAAATTTATCATATAAATTGTCTGTGCCAAAGTTACACACTTGTCCTAATTTTATGATTTGTACTGTTTTGTGTGTGTTTGCATTTGTGTTTAAAATAAATAGCACTTGGATATGGCCCTTCAATATGCAATAAAACCATTTTAGTTTTAAAGAGAACACTTTCATTATATATAAAACCTAGATATTTAAATTTTGTATATAACTTTTTCCACTAGATGGCAGGATTGGATAGTAAATGGAGAGAGAGAAGGCACATAAATGAGAGCTGAACATGAAATACACACACACACACACACACACACACACACACTGATTGAGGCTTATATATGCTGTGAAATGATTACACGCCATTAAGGAGAAAAACATATTAGGAACGTACGACTTTGTTTTACATGCTTGATGGATTTTGAATTTCAGCTATTGTTGCTGAGCTTTTTGTAGCCTAGAAGAGGCGTATAAAGTTCTCAAATCTCTTTGAGAGGATTCAGAAGGGCAGCTCTGGGTTGTGTTCCATTGTTTCAGCAGAGAAATAACCCTTATTGTTCCTGAATAGAGGCTCAAATTACACCAAAGCTTAAGGCTTGGAAGCTTACATCTGATACCTTTGTTTCCCAGTAGAAATGAGGCCATTCCTGCAGATCAGGCATGTCCAACCGGTCGAAAGTTCAGTAACTTTGGTCAATCCAATGGGTAGATCACTGCCAGTTTTTTTATAGTGGGAGTAGATCGCAGTCTCTTGGGAGTTGGATATGCCTGCTGTAGATAATGAGAAACCATGCTTAGCTCTCCTTGGCTTGGTCCACTTGACAAATTACAATATTATTCCAAATGTAGCCTGTAGATATAGTTGGCAAAAGACATGCTGCTGGAGACTACAGCAAATGGTACTTTTGGGCATGTTGTAGAAATTAGTAGCTAGCTACAGTGGCAGTCTCGGGGAATCAGATTTCTGTCTATCAAGGTTGCCTTCATTCTGCTCTAGATACCATGACTTGCTGGCTACTAGTATAGTCTTTGAAAGCACATCAAAGTGCAAGTAGATAAATAGGTACCGTTCCGGTGAGAAGGTAAACGGCGTTTCCGTGTGCTGCTCTGGTTTGCCAGAAGCTGCTTAGTCATGCTGGCCATATGACCCGGAAGCTGTCTGTGGACAAACGCCAGTTCCCTCGGCCTATAGAGTAAGATGAGCGCTGCAACCCCAGAGTCGTCCGCGACTGGACCTAACGGTCAGGGGTACCTTTACCTTTAGTGTAGTCTTGTCCAGATTCACTTTTTGTATCTGCTGTTCCCCCTCATTGTTAAGCATTGGGAAAGTGGACTATGAAACCTTTGTCAGAAACAAGATGGTTAAAGCTGAACCTTGTATGATTTTTCAGTGTCCTAGGAATGTGGCAAATACTCCACTACCACCACCTCATTTGGTCTTCCTGTAAGAAATGAGTTGAATCACTTGTTCAGATACTATAGATAGGATAGTTGCAAAGTCAAGTTGCCAAGAAGCTTTTATAGTTCTTAGGTGCTCTATTAATAAACTGAATGCTGATAACTGATAGCTTTTTTCTTTTTTTAGTTCCTGACTTGTTTGATTTTACTGTTTCAGTGATCTGAAAATCCCCACTATAGTTGTATTGAACACATCCAATCAACAGTATTTCCTACCTCATAAACCTATTGAGAGTACTGAAGATATGGTTCAGTTCATTAATGAGATCCTGGAAGGCACTGCAGAAGTAAGCCTTTCTCTTTTATTCAAAATTTCTTTAACCAATTCTTGAACTGCTCAAAGACCTAACTGTTTGTTGGCGATCTTACTTCATTTCTGTTTTCTGATTTGAATGTGCAGTACCAATGTTCCTTGAAAACAAGAGTCGCTGGAAAGAACTAACATTAGAGGCAGCCTGGGGACAGGTCCTTGCAAGGGACCCCAAGAATGTCACAAGAAAATAATTTTCCCCTTCAATGGAAAAACATTATATATCAGACTTCATGGTGAAGAAAGGTGGATGCAAGCTGAAATATAATTGACTAGTGCTAATGCCTGTTTTTACCTTTGAAATTTTAGGCACACGGTGGAGATGGAATTCTTCAACGGATCAAGAGAATAATTTATGATGCCAAGTCTACTGTAGGAGTAAGTAATGTCCCATCTCTGTTAGATAATGTCTAAACGTATATCAGATATAAAATAGGGACAGTACCTGCCAAACATCCGCATATTAAGGTCCTCAGGTTACCCATCCTAACATCAATATCTAATTTGATCACATGATTTTGGGTGCTGGGTTCTGTATTTTAAAGAAGTTTGTTACAATATATCTGCCTTTTGAAACACACATCTTGGCATCAGGAATCCAGACATTTGGCAACCCATATCAGCAGTGTTGCTTTTGGCAATTTCCCTTAAAAATAGCTCAAAAACTTCCCTTTTAAAACATTTATTTTTAGATTTCTGGCAAAACTTTAAAAAGCTCATGAACTTTGCCTGAAAAAAAGCTCAACAACTTTTCTGTCCGGATTTTCACTTTTTGAATACGCCAACCCTAGCTTAGACGGAGAGATGGATCACAGAAACCCTTTGAATATCAGCTTCCCTCTTTAAAGTGCTCTCCATGGAGTCAAGCAATAATCCTTGTGTTGACTGCTGCCATGAGTTTCCAAGACAGTGATAGCTATTCCCAGCAGCTGCAGGCGTTGCGTGTCAAGCCCCGAAACGCACCCCCATGGAAATAAAGACACAAAGGAGACAGAATTTAGTTTAAAGGTTAATGGGCAAATTTAGGCTACAACTTTATTGAGTACACAAGTGTGACTGGTATTGGCTTAGGCATTGGTATCTAATGACTAGAACTGGCTCCTGCCACCCAGCAGGTAGCCTGCAAAGCGTAAACTACCAGCAGAGGGAGCTCCAACAATGGCTATTGACTGGTGCTCACCTTTGGGGTTCCCGGGGGTCCTGGCATGGCCCTAGCTCCTCCCCAGGCTTCGGCTGAGATCCAAGCCCCTGGATTCCTTTAACAGAATACCCTATCAAATGGAGGGGCAGGTGATGGCCACACCTCCCCTCCCCACATTCCCCTAAACCAATGCCTAACCACCAAACCTTACAAAGTTGTGACGATTCTAAGAGGTAGGCAAAAACACAGCAGCCGCTGCCAATCTGCCACATTGGAAAAAATTCCTACCCGGCCCCTGTTCCAAAACAGGAGTCCAAAGCAAGGTCTGACCCCGACCTAACAAGGGGTGGTGAGTGTTCGGCAGCGCAAAGCAAGAGGAGGTCCCCACAACGTGCTTCTGTTTAAATACTCTACTCCCAATCAGGCCACCACGCTGATTGGCTAAAAGCCAGTGGCAGGATCGTGGCACCACTGGCTGGAGCGGGGCAAAGCCCTGCCTCCATGCCGGTTGCAGGGAGTCCCGGGGCTGCGCGCAACATGGACCCTCGGTTAGGAGGATCCAACTTGTAGAGATATACAATATGTACTATTGGTAATCCATGTAATCCATGCTAAAAGAAGCAGCATTTGTTCAGATCTTTAGCAGATGCTTCAAGAACCATTAAAACTCACTTGTCAACTGGTTCAGCTACCTCCTCTCTGTACTCACAGCACATCTGGAAACCTGAATATCGTTGTTGGCCTGCCAGAAACACAAACAGCCAACACAAGAACAATAAGTTACATATAGATCTGTGCACATTTTTCCATAAAGACATAAAATCTGTTTTGGGGGCAAAGACTGCATAGATGTACACAAAACTTAGTTTGTGGAATTGCCCTAAAATAGAATAACAATTATAATGGCTTCAGGTAGGTAGCTGTGTTGGTCTGACGAAGTGTGCATACACACGAAAGCTTATACCCAGAACAATCTTAGTTGGTCTCTAAGGTGCTACTGGACAATTTTTTAATTATAATAGAGTTAATTTGGTCTTAACTTGATGAATCAAAGATGTTTGCGGGGAGAGTACATCAGCTTAACACACTGTAAATATCAGAAGCTTTTAAATGAAAGACAAGTCCTACTAAATGCACGCTCCTATCCATGTCTGTGCAAAAGCTTAAGTCCCATTGAGTTCAATGGGACTTAGCCCCAGGTAAGTGTTTTAGCACTGTAGCTTTAGTAACATTTGCTGCTTCTTATCCACTTGATATACTGAATGCCGACCTTCGAGATTTTCACAACCGCCAACTTCATCGGTTCATAAACTCCCTTTAAAATAAAGTCTTTAGGTGAGCGATCTCCACTTGCCTGATGTTTCCAGGAACTGCTAAGTACGTAATTCCCACTGTGTTTTCCTGCATTTTATTTCCCTCTGACTCTTTACAAACCCCCTTCCCCAAAACCATGTGTAGATATACCTGCAGCTCAGGAAAACACTCCATATATCTGATGGACCGTATTCCGTGAAAGCTTATGCATTGATATATTTGTCAGATGTTGTCAAATTGTCACTAACAGCTAACCATTTCTCAACAGTCTGTTTTCAAGAGTTCCCCCCTTCTGGGCTGCTTTCTCTTTGGTCTACCACTGGGTGTCATCAGCATCATGTGTTACGGAATTTGTATGGCTGACTCTGATGGAAGATTAGATGAAGTGGATGCATCTAAGAAGGAAAGTACAGGGCGGGAACTGACTGATGAAGGCACTGAGGAAGAACAAGAGGAAGAAAACAGTGAGAACCGTCTAGAATTTCCAGGTGGCGAGGAAGAACAGAAAACTATATTTGAAAAGAAAAAAGACTAAATTGCTTAATTAAAAAAAAATGTAGAATTTCAAAATATAGACTTATTTATTGAATTCATCTATTTACCTGTGACCTTCAGAGATGATGAACTTTTTGTTTTACATGCATGTGTTCCAATTGCTTGGCCGTGAAGAAGAATGAGTGGAAGTCTGGGTTTCAGAGTCCTTTACTATCTTTATCCTGCTGAAAAGAAATCAAATTAAGGGATGTATATATGAGCTATTTTACAGTAATGCACACTGAAGTTTTCTTCTTTCTTTTCTAGCTACTGAGAACTGGTTAAAAATTATTTTAACTATGTGGCCAAAGTAAATAAAACATTTAAGAAAGGACTGCAGGAATGTTCTCAGCCTAGAGTGAAATCTGTAAATGGGGAAACATACTTTTGGGACATTACATAAATGCTTTTAAAAATAGTTAGTATTGCTTTGAAAATCAATACATACTTCATTTTATTTCGTTTTTTTTATAAAAAGATGTAAATTTTAGATAATCTGTTACAGAAGTCTCATGGCAGTGCTAAACCACAGGTATTGCGGTCTCTCTTTAGTTGTTTTTTATGCAATTTTAATAATCTTCAAAGTAGTATTTGCTTACTGGGTCCATTTGCTGTTGCGTTATTTTGGTCCAATATGGTTCATTATTAAAAAATCACTTCTGTATTTAACTTAAAAGGAAAAAAACCTTGCTTTTAGATGAGATTTCCCCTAATCTTGACAAAACTGAAGGTTTCATTTGCTCATGACGAAATTAGTGGAATATTTTTTTCTGTGTGTCTGCTGCATGATTAATGACAAGTGTTTCTTCAATATGCCAAAATATTTTTAAAGGTGGGTTAAATCTTGCAACAACTGTGACTTCTGCAAGTGAAAAACACATAGACAAATATTTTATTGGCTTGTTATCAGTAATACCTGCATTTGACATCTCAACTACATGTTGATTGGACAGAGCAATTTAATTATCTTTAGGACTGTTAACACTTCTAGAAAAGGGGGGTATTTGTCGGTGCAATACATTTTCATTAACTGTTAAATCACATAAGTCATCTCTAATACTGTCCCTTGACATTGAAAGCAACTAAGCTCTCTCCAGAGTTAAGATCTCAAGGGATAAGCTATAAGATGGTGTTTGGAGTATTGATACCATGGTGATTACCATAGCAACCAAACCTATGCTGCTCATTTTCAGAACTACGGCTATGTCACATCCAGTTGGAAAACTGAAAAATAAAAGCTTCCCAGCTTGTGAGTCTTGGTAAAGCAGTTTGGTATAATACGTATGGCTACATATGTACATTCTCAAAAAAGAAATTTTAAGCTTGGATAAAAAAAGTTTTAAAGGAATTAAGACTAGAAGGTAGAATTTTTTGTCCTCCTGAAGATAGGGAAACCCTGTAGTACTTTAAAGCTAATCAACTTTCTAAAACATTCTAAGCAAACTAATTCGATTTACATAGTTTTGTTGTTTAGAAGGAAATTAAGCTGATAATAACACAGTTGTTTTGAAAATGCATGGGTTTTAAAAGTAGGGTTCTCCTTGATAAAAATGAATGTTGCTTTTCAAAATAGGAAGAGATGAGAAATGGAAAAGTGTTTAGCACTTTCACTGACAGTTGTTCTTTGCCTAAAGAATAAATTGCTGAGATGTAAATTATACTTACCAGAAATATTCTAGCTGTGACAGTTTGGCTTTATAAAGAAACTTTGTTCTGGCTTTTGTTTAAATTTAAACCAGGTTGTGTTGGTTCTGAACACTGATAGAAGTTATAAATGGTATTTTGTTTGAGGCAAGGTTCAACTCCTGTCATGTCATGCGCAGTTGGTTTTTCACATATTTGAGGTTTTGTCCAATGCTGCAAAACTCCCCTATGCTTTAAGCGTCAAAAGCATAAAATGAGCTGGATTTTTAGGATGGACAGAAGAGTTTTTAGACTGTACCAGGATAGCATTTCTATTTTGTTGGTGTTATATGTTGTTTACAGAAGTAGTGAATGTCAGCACAAGAAATCTGAATTCATCTATTATTTCACACGACTTATTAATTTTGTGTTCTTATAGCTTTCTTTTAGATACAAATAACAGCTACATGCTATATAGTAGTTTTTCCAGTGCTGAATCTTGAGAGCATGCTTTCAACAACAACAAAATCCTAGCATTTATACCAATTTATAGGATGTTAAGCAGATTTAGAGTGGTTTGGACAGTGTCAGTTAAAATAGGTATATGTTTGCCATCCAGCATATGGAATGTCAAACTCCCTGGCGTTTACTGAACTCAAGTGTACTGCCATTTCATTTCAGCTTCATAACATTGCAGTTAAAGTAGATTTAACTGAGCATTCCCCCTTTTATGTTGGGAATGAATAACTTGTGGTATAAAACAAAATGACTATTTTTTTTTTTGATCATGTAAAGAGCTCCACACAGTCAGGTGTCGATTTTAACTTGAATGGAAGCGCTCCAATTTTATTTTACCTTGTTGAATTTATCAGCTGTAAATGTGTGGGTTTTTGTTTTTTTTACAATAATAAAACATTTAAAAGTACTGCTTTTCACTCCTTGGTGCTCTATTTGCACATGGTTTGACATATATAATAGTATATAATAGAGGAAATATATAAGAAACTGGGATCAGACCAGCATTCTTTTTCCCACATGACTTTTGAAACCCATGAGATGACATTGGCCGCAGCCTTCTCCCACTGTTGTTCCCCAGCTGCAACTGCTATTGTTAAAGGTAATTAGCCATCATGACTGGTAGCCATTGTATTAGCCATATCTTCCATGAATTTGTCTATTGCTCTTTAAAAGCCCTCTAAGCTGGGAACCATATTGTGATAATGAATTTCATATTTTAGCCATGTGAAGAATTTTGTATGTGTGTGTACGGGATTTAGCATTATAGGATGACCCAGGTTCTAGTATATGTGGCAACCTCTCTATCCCCTTTCTCCACACTATGGCATACTTTTATACAACTTTGTACTGTGTTTCCTTCCCCTTACTTGAATTTTTCCTAAATAAAAGAGCCCCAAATATATATTGTCTTCATAGGGGAGTTTCTTCAGCCCCTTAATCATTTTACACTTCTTCAATGCCCTTTTCAAGAGGCCGAAACCAGAAATGCACACAGTACAGTGGTACCTCGGGTTAAGTACTTAATTCGTTCCAGAGGTCCGTTCTTAACCTGAAACTGTTCTTAACCTGAAGCACCACTTTAGCTAATGGGGCCTCCTGCTGCTGCCGTGCTGCCAGAGCACGATTTCTGTTCTCATCCTGAAGCAAAGTTCTTAACCCGAGGTACTATCTCTGGGTTAGCGGAGTCTGTAACCTGAAGTGTATGTAACCCGAGATACCACTGTATTCCAAATATAGTAATACCATATGTTTGTGTAAAGGTACTATAATACTGGGAATTTAATTTTAGATCTAATAACCCCTAGTAAGGAATTCTCCTTTTTCATGGTTGTTGCTCAGTCGCTCAAGGTGTTCATCGAGCCATCCACCATGTCTCCCAAGGTCTCTTTTCTGGTCAGTTGCGACTAGCTCAAACCACATTGGTGTATATGTAAAATTGGAGGGGAAAGTGCCCCCAACGTACTAGCATAAGGTGTCCATTTAATGCATATATTGGTAGAAATGGTACGTAAATTTGCTTTGAAAAAAATGTATCTGTTGGGCAAAATTGCATACAAAAAATTGCACCAAGGTTTTCATGAGGGTTTTTAAAATAATGATCAGGAACTCATGTGGAAATGAAAAACTGAATTTAAGATCAGAATGATAAAGAAATGGAAAAGCTGAAATTTTCATGTTTTCTCATCCCTAGGCGGGCCATAAACACACAATTGGCATGTCTTCAGAGGAACATGTTGGCATCAGTCAGGCTTACAGCACGAAAGAATTGCCTTGAAAAATACTCACCTTGTGTGAGTTTAATGTGCCCTGTATACACAATGATATAATATTCAATCATGAACTGTGTTTTCCATAGTTTCTTAAAAAACATAACCAGGGAAGAAGGCAATATACAATAATGAAATGCCTTATAAATCTGCTATGTTGCGGGCAAATGTTTTTTCCTTACAGTAGTGCACGTTTTGTAAAGGATCATCAAGAGGGATGCTGTCAGTGCTACTAAACAGAAGGGTGTTTTGTATTTGTTACCTCTGATGTACAAAGCAGAAGCACAACACTCCCTTTCAATAGGTCATAATCATCTGTCATCCGCAGCTGGAAAAAGCAAACCTATTGGCACAACACTTGTCAGATGTTCTGATATGCGGGCGCATTTAAGTAGAAGACATTTGGTTGTTTATCTGAGACCTCTATTCTTGTAAACAAGGAAGCAGGCTATATCCCTGTGGTCTGACTTACCTCTTTATGATAGGGATTCTCAAGTGCTGGGAAGAATATAATCAATTTGATCCAAATTTTACTGCTCGTGGGGCTTGGGAAAGCATAGATTCTCCTTTGGCCCACCTACTATTCCACGGTTTCTCTGCTTTGTTGATCTCTGAACTGCACAGGATGAAAGGCTTTTGTGCTTCTATTCCATGAGGAAAGACCATTTTTGGCCAATATACCAGATCTCGCAAGAACAAGAAATGGGTGTGTGACTGTGTTTTTAGGCAAGAACTATAAATCCTTAGCTGATGGAGTACTGAGAATATTTCCTTGCACACATTTACCCAGTAGGACTGATTTTTATTTTGCTACATGGTTGCAAATATGGTCTTTAATGACCACTTTTCAGAAGACGTTTTCTACTGGTACAGTTATTTTGAGTCAGCGACTTCTCTGTTTAAAAACATTTGCAACTGGGAGAGGTTCTGTTCTTTTGATTAAAAGGAATACTGGGGTTAATATAACTGTGTACCTTTTCCTTCTTGTGCAGAACTAGCAGCCTGTCAAAGGCTAATACTCCTCAATTATCTCTGGAAATTTGTATTAATGCTGTAGTAGCTGCTCAAACGGGGACGCGGGTGGCGCTGTGGGTTAAAGCCTCAGCGCCTAGGACTTGCCGATCGAAAGGTCGGCGGTTCGAATACCCGCGGCGGGGTGCGCTCCTGTCGCTCGGTCCCAGCGCCTGCCAACCTAGCAGTTCGAAAGCACCCCCGGGTGCAAGAAGATAAATAGGGACCGCTTACTAGCGGGAAGGTAAACGGTGTTCCGTGTGCTGCACTGGCTCTCCAGATGCAGCTTGTCACGCTGGCCACGTGACCCGGAAGTGTCTGCGGACAGCGCTGGCCCCCGGCCTATAGAGTGAGATGGGCGCACAACCCTAGAGTCTGTCAAGACTGGCCCGTATGGGCAGGGGTACCTTTACCTTTTTAGCTGCTCAAACATTGCCTCTTGTGTAACTTCATAGTAGATGTGTACTGTCTAAAGGCCAAGCAGAAGAGACTGGCAGAATATTTGTGGCAGCCACAAAACTCACTGGGCAACCTTGGGCCAATCACTATCCTTCAGCCTAGAAATGCCTCACATGGTGGATGTAAGGATGAAATGTGGAAAAGGAGAACCATGCACCCCACCTTGAGGTCCTTGGAGGAAAGTGGGAATATAAATGTCATGATCAATATATCAACTGCAGCAAAGAAAGTAGATGCAAATAGATAGCTTGAGGGATAAACAGGCAGTCCCTGCTATTCACACCGGGAAAACCATTGAGACTTACTACTGTATAATAAGGAAAAGGAAAGATTCCGCCCCCCCCCCTTATCCCTCTCATTATTGGGATAAGCGTGAACTGGCTAGAGCTGGCACCCCCAATGCCAAGAGGATAAAGCTCTAACCAATAAAATAAATATACTGTTGAAGGAATGCAACACTGCAGGTCAGCGTTGGTAAGTCTCCAAATTTTGTTCTGTATGGGACAATGACAATAAAGAGTATCGTATCTTATCATATGATGATGATGATTATATTTATACCTGCCCATATTAAAACACCAAACATTAAAAACTTCCAGATACAGGGTTGCCTTCAGATGTCTTCTAAAAGTTACATAGTTGTGTAGTTGGTACTGTTTGGTGGAGTAGTTGCGTAGACAGTACGCAATAAGCAAATGGACCCCAGACCACCCCAAGCTTGGTGCCTGAGGAAAGTCACCCAGGTTCCCTGCAAGGAATTTTGTTTATGTTTTATATTAGTCACTGCATGAGAATTAATAATTTATTTCGTGTCCAGTCAGGCTAGCATTTTGTTTCATGTTTCTGTTGGAAATTACAAACTGCAGAGAAAATTTTTTATTTCCTAGTATTAGGTCAAGTTCAAGGTACAGGTAATATGCAAAGATGGTTTAGAATATGTATATTTTTTTCTTTTTTAAAACAAGCAAACACATCATCCTGCCAACAGCCCATCTGCTATTACAAGGATTTATTTGACGGAAATGCTGTTTCTTTAAGAAATGTCAGGCTGTTTTAGTATGCGAGATTTACCATTTGGCCCAAGGATCTTTATTTAGTCTGAATGGCTGTAAAGGAAATGGAATTATTCAAGGTTGTTTCAGCTTATCAGATGAAGCTTCTCAATATATGTATGCTACCCATGTAAGAGTTTTCTTTTGATCCTTAGTGTGTGCGTTAGCTTGGGGGTTGTCAATGTTCAGTTTCCTACATGTAAAAAGCCTGCATTTACAGAGAAACTAGAGATTTGGCTTTAGGAATTTGTGCTTCAGCTAACAAAGAATTCATTAACACCTCCATTCAGTGCACATGAAGGCAGATAAGCAACAACTGAATAATTTTGTCTTGACCTTCAGTGATAAACATATTCAAGCAAATTACTACTTTCCCTCTAGCCAAATGTTAATTTCTGTGATTAAAGTACTGCACACACCAACTTATCATTTTGCCACTACTGTTGATCATACATGCATGCAATTGTTCGATGAATAATTATAAGATTGTTAATTAGAACATGGGGCATATATATTTCTCTCCTCTCCCATGTATTCACTGGCAGAGGGTTGTTTTTTTTTAATGCCCCTAACGACTCCATTAATTATTAACAAGATCTGGTAATAACAGCATTTATTCCACTTGTAATAGCAAAGAAAAGGAAATACTGCTTAAAATCATTTTGTGAATGAAGGACAAGTATTTAAGGCAACGAGGTCTATTTTCCTTCCCTTGGCAAAATTCTTTGCTCCTCAGCCAATGCTTTCATTACCTACTAAAAGGCATGTGATGTGTTGCTCCTGTTGCCACTTGGATCACTCTGGAAACTGGCTGTGTGTGGCGTCGGCGAACTTTTCACTCAACTGAATAGTGTGAAATGTCATGGGAACATGTGGAAAGATCCAATCCACTTGGTCCAAGTACATGGAACATCTGCCAAACAGACAGTTTGGCAAGTGGTCCAGTTGGCAGATGGAAAAGAAGGAGCAGTCATGACACATAAATGCAAACTTGTTGGTAGGGGTGACGTTACTGGTGTTGGCACTGACGTGTGGCTGTAGGACTGCCGATCCAAGTGGAGACTGGTGATGGAGCCCTTTTGCTCAGGGCAGACCAGGACAAGTCCAGGCACTCAGCAAGAGAAGACAGAACAGAACACGAATACTGGCGATTTATTGGAGTAGCCTATTTTCTGCCAGCCAAATTTCTAATACAGGAACAGCTACAAGCAGCACCATTGAATGTTGTGGAGCCACTTCAAACCTGACCAACAAAAGAGGAATAAGAGGGAGGGCAAATTGGTTGCCCCATCTCCTGGCACGATGTATTAGATTAAGAGTATAGGGGCCAAACGTGCATATCAGCTTCACAAATGTCTCTTCCTGCACAACAAAGAAGATGAAGATTTGGGTTTAAGAGCTGCAGCTTAATTAAATAAACATAATTCAAAAGACTGCAGCAGACAAGTTTGATAATCTGTGCAGACATCCTATTTGGGTCAGACCTTGAAGAATAGAACCCCAGTCTCCCTCGAGCGTAACCCCACCCTGGTTCCAAGCCATGGATTGGAAGGTTAATTGGTATGTGTCTTGCCCATTCCTTCTCACCCACAGGCATGTAAGTGCCCCATTGT